GTCAGCACCAGTTTGAAAGAGAATTACTGGAGAGCATACTGAAGTTGGTAGAGTTTTTTTAAACCAGCTGTCAGAGAACCTGCAGAACGATGTTCACCGACTCCTCCACCACCTGATGGAGAAGGAGGAGGTGCGGCCTTGCATGTGGATGCTGCGTAAGCTGGAGAGGAGCAGGCATGTGTAGACGACAACTCTTATGACTTTTAGAACAGTGAACTGGCTGCTGGAGCAACAACCATGACCTAGAAGTTTGTGAACACCGGGAGAAAATGAGACAGGTGAAGTTCCTGACAGCTCGTTTTAGCAACTATCTCAGTTTACTTTGCTGTTTTCTTTTTTTTTATTTATTAAACAATATTAACACTAAAATTGGTTTATTTCTTTGAAGTTGTGTCTCCGTTTAACTTTTGAATTCCCCCCCCCACCCCCGACACACACACACAAAACACCGTTACGATGTTCTCTGTGAAGGAGTCGGCTTTAAGTGTTTGTAGTGTATAGTAAATATCTGCTGAATCTTAATCTGTATTATAGATTAAAAACAATATTTGGAGGATTTGGATGCGCTAACACATTTATATTTGTAACCAGACTGTATGAATGTTGAACTTCATGCAGTTAACAATCAAATATGAAATATAAATTACAGTTTTCACACTGATTCAGTTGATTTTATTTTATTTTTTTGCCTAGTATTGTGAATATTTCAATGTTCAAGTATTTTTAGCGACACGGAAGTTCATAAACTTTCATTTCCAAACATATCAACCTTCATAAAATGCACGTTGATTCTCAGTGATAAACTCCTCGAGCTTAACACCGAAGGGGTGGTTTTGCTTTGATAGAACTTTGTTGTATTCAAAGGGGCGATATATCACAGGTAGTATTTTTACGCAGTCCAACATAATTTAAAATTGAAAATTTTTTTCAACTTTTGTAATGAATATGCTGTTGTCTTTGATTTATGTGCAGACAAATGGTGATTTTTAGGGCAAAACTGTGTGTTGGGGGGAATGGAGATTGATGGAGGGCTTACAGGGATGTTTAGACCTGGAGCCCCACCAGCAGGTTAAAGGGTGGTGGGGTGTGATATGACTGGAGATGTTAAGAAGTTAAAGAAGTGCAGAATCACATTAGATTTGTGAGAATGTTGACTTTCTCACTCCAAACTGAAAAATAACACTGGTTGTCCTTCATCTGAATGTTAATTACTCATATTGTGCCTCTGAGTACCAGCTGTAAAAGCAGTTATTTGTGATTTATCTGTTCTGTACAACAAACTGCTAAACCCATTGTGTGTTTGTGTGTTCTTGTTTCAGTTTAAGAGGATGCTGAACAGGGAGCTGACTCACCTCTCAGAGATGAGCCGCTCAGGGAACCAGGTGTCTGAGTACATCTCCAACACATTTCTGGGTAAGTGGTGACACAATACTTGTTTCAAATACTTTTTTTTTTTTTGTACTCGCGTGTCATGCCCCTCTGTGCAGACAAGCAACACGAGGTGGAGATGCCATCCCCACAGACGCAGAAGGAGAAGGAGAAGAAGAACAAGCCCATGTCTCAGATCAGCGGCGTGAAAAAGCTGCAGCACTCATCGAGTCTCACAAACTCAAATATCCCTCGTTTTGGTGTCAAGACTGAGACCGAGGATGAACTGGCTAAGGTGAGTTTGTGTTATGTGCACACTAATGTTCTTTCATTAGGCTTAGGACAAACCAATAAAGATTAAAAGAAAATGTCTCAGATTGTGTCTTTAAATATCTTTCAGGAGCTGGAACATGTGAATAAATGGGGCCTTAATGTCTTTAAAATCTCAGAATTCTCTGGGAATCGGCCGCTGACAGTCATGATGTACACAATATTTCAGGTAAAGGCTCATGTTTTAATTGTTCAATTTCTTCAGTTATTTTCTGATTGTAAAACGACTTGTGTCTCTGTCTAATTTTCAGGAGAGGGACTTGTTAAAAACGTTTAAAATTCCACTCGACACTTTTATAACGTACCTGATGACTTTAGAGGACCATTATCACAGCGACGTGGCCTACCACAACAACATTCATGCTGCTGACGTCACACAGTCAACTCACGTGCTGCTATCCACACCAGCCCTTGAGGTGAGCTTCATGTGCACACGGCCGACGCGCACATACTCAGACACGCGCTCGTCAGCGCTCACAGCTCGAGCTTCCACAATCAGCTCCAATCAAAGCTCAACTCAAAGGCCCATCAGTGCTCTCCCTCCTCCCATCTGTGCTCCATTACCACTTCTCCTTCTTCTTCTTCTTCATCCTCCAGGCTGTGTTCACAGACCTCGAGATCCTAGCTGCCATCTTTGCCAGTGCAATTCATGACGTGGACCATCCTGGAGTCTCGAACCAGTTCCTCATCAACACCAGTAAGTCCAAACAGATCCGCTGCTGAAACAGATTAACAGCATCACTCTCTTGATTCTCTTTTTGTTAGCACACATTTAAGATGATCATTTGTCACATGTAAAGTACAAGCAATTGCATCATTACTGCACACGTGATTTGAAGGTAGAGAACGGATCAGCAGTGTCTTTATTTTGGTGATATTTGCAAATTGCAACAGAACTTTGTTTTTCACGAAAAACCATAACATCCTACAGAAATCTGAGGGCAGCCTCGCCCGAGCCACATAAAGTGATAAATAATTAAACGTTGTTATTCACCCTGGTTTTTTTCCTCCTACTTTTTTTCAAGTATATTTTGTTTAATTGCAAAAACGACATTTGCCTGTTAGTGCACAAGCTGCTATAAACCATCTTAAACTGTCATGTTTAACTAAAAGTGTGGGCAGAAACAAAAATTACAAACAGCATGACTCAGACTCTTTAAGGTTTGTGTTGGAAGTGGGTAAACAGAGCTACAAACCAGACTTGTAGCAGTAATGGTTTTTTTTTTGTTTTGTTTTAAATGTGTCCTCGAGCAGGAATTTAAACCCCTGTTATCTCTCTTTAACTGACTCACCGTCTCCCAGCTTGAGGTCCCACAGATGTTGCCTTAATTTGGCGATTTGGAGCAAAACACAGTTTATGTCCACTGGGCATTGCTTCAAGCAGCCACTCTCCAGACAAATGTGAACGTTGCATAAGAGTGTCGCTAATCGGGACATAAAAGATGCCCTGCAGTCACTTACACCACACACACACACACACACACACACACACACACACACACATTGTGTAGTGCTTCCCAAAACAGGGAATCCCTGCAGTAAAGGCATTACGAGTCACCCTGTTTAAGAGCTGATCTTTAGAACTGATATTCTGTCAACTAAAGAGCAACAAACAAGGATTTCCTCTTCCTCCAGCTGACTTTAAAGCATCCTAATGGCAGTCCAGTCACAGCTAGACATTCAAATGATCCAGTCAGGAAAATGTTAAGGGGATTTAACAAAGTTCAGTCAGGTCATCTGGACGGCTTCATTTTTGTTGTTGAGACATTTTGTCCTTCATCCAAAGGACTTCATCAGTCTGAGGAGCCACAAAAAAAACTCAGTCCCACAAGCAGCACATTCCCATAGTAGACCTACCAGTTTACTGGTGATATGTTTTTTTGGGGTCTGCTCTCTCGCCCATTAACGCCTAAGAGGTGGCCTTAGCCAAAGTGGTTCAAAACATCAAAGTTCATTCTCAATAAACCAGGTAAAAAAAATCCAACTATGTTCAGCCAGTTCATCTGGATGTTTTTTTTTTTTTTTTTTAGATGCTTTTATGGGGCTCTGAGGCATAACTGCCTCAGAGGAGTCAACAGGGGAGAGGGCAGACCCCAGGCACCATCTTATCACCAGCAAACTGGTTGGTCCACTATGGAAGTGTGCTACTTGTGGGACTGTCTGTTTGTGGCTCCTCGGATTGATGAAGTCCTTTGGATGAAGGACGAAATGTTTCAACAGAATAAAAGAAACCATACCGATAACCTGACTGAACTTTGATGGATTTTTTACCTGGATTATTGAGCATGAACTTTGATGTTAAGGGGATTTACTCATAGAGCAAAGAAAACGTTAAACATTTGATGTTTCAAATACAAATAATTGTCATAATGTTCAAACCACAGTACAACTAAAACGATCGACTGTCTTCTCACTACAGATTCTGAGCTAGCCTTGATGTACAACGACTCGTCGGTGTTGGAGAACCACCATTTAGCAGTTGGTTTTAAGCTACTACAAGAGGAGAACTGTGACATCTTCCAAAACCTGACCAAAAAACAACGACAATCACTGCGGAAAATGGTCATTGACATTGTAAGTAGAAAAAAAAATGTTAAGACATTTGAGTGAAATGTGTCATGTTTTTAATGTTACTCTGTTCAGTCATAAATTGAACCACTGTACTAATCACCTGCAACCATGTGCTTTGGGGTCTTTCAAGGTGCTAGCAACAGACATGTCCAAACACATGAACCTGCTGGCTGATCTGAAAACAATGGTGGAAACAAAGAAAGTGACCAGCTCTGGTGTGTTGCTTCTGGACAACTACTCCGACAGGATACAGGTCAGAATCAGAATCAGAATCAGTTTATTATCGCCATGTCAATGAACGAGGTTCACAAACTAGGAATTTGCTTCGACATAAGGTGCGAATAGTAGTAAAGTAAAATAAAGTAAAATAAAGTAAAAATTAAGTAAAAATGAGAACATTACATAAGACATAAGCCTGTGTACACCCACAAATAAAGTAAAATTAAAAACATAACATAACCATATGTACACCCATACAATAGAGAAAAAAAAAAATTAAAAAGCTTAGAAAACAGTACAGATGGAGTATTCAGTTATAATACAGATGTAATGTGACCAAAGCAGAAATTATGAGGTAGCATTATGAGTGTTCAGGAGTCCAACAGCAGAGGGGAAGAAACTGTTCTTATGGCGGGAGGTTCTGGTCCGAATGGACCGAAGCCTCCTGCCTGAGGGGAGTGGTTCAAACAGTCCGTGTGCAGGGTGAGCAGGGTCAGCTGTGATCCGACCTACTCGCCTCACAGTCCTGGAGACGTACAGGTCGTGGAGGGATGGAAGGCTGCAGCCGATCACCTTCTCACTTGAGCGCACAACGCGCTGCAGTCTGAGTCTGTCCCTGGCAGTGGCCCCGGCGTACCACACCGTGATGGAGGAGCTGAGGATGGACTCGATGATGGCTGTGTAGAACTGCACCATCAGCTTGGCCGGCAGCTTGGCCTTCTTCAGCTGTCGCAGGAAGTACAGTCTCTGCTGGGCCTTCTTGATGAGGGAGCTGATGGTTGGCTCCCACTTGAGGTCCTGGGTGATGGTGGTGCCGAGGAACCGATAAGAATTTGCAGTGGTGACGGAGGTATCATTACAGGTGAGGGGGGGCAGAGGGGCTGTGGCTTTCCTGAAATCCACAATCATCTCCACTGTCTTCTGGGCATTGAGTTCCAGGTTGTTGCTGCTGCACCAGGTCACCAGCCGGTCCACCTCCCTCCTGTGAGGTGAGCCTCAAATTAGCTCACTCCTGGATTCCACTGGGCCCAGCTGTGGTTCTGTTCAGAGACTCTCCGCTCTTATAAAAATACATTCGTGGTCATGTTTTATATCGAGCTGCACAGAATACATAAAGTCAGTCATACCAGGGAGAATCACACTAAATCTTTACAGCTAAAAGAGTTTTGGCTACATTTTGCATAAACAAACACAACTGGAAGCATGACATCAACTTTTATTATTAGAACCAAAAAACACAAGAAAGATAAACTAGAGAAATTGCATTTCCTGCGAAAATGCAGTGTGAATGCTTATTGCAGAAGAACTTGCTGAAATTAGCTATAAAAAACATGCTGAAACGTAGCTGTAAATGTAGAACAAGTGTAAATCAGCAGGAGAAAGCAGAAATAACACAAAAATTGAAATGAGTGGAAAAAAAATGTGGCATTAGCTGAAAAAGCTAATAGTAGCATAAAAAATAGCTAAAAAGTAGCTGAAATAACTGAAACTAGCAGAAATAAACTGAAAGGAGCATAACTTGTTTAAATTAGCAGAAATAATTTGATTAGGCTGAAAGTAGCAGAAATTACAATTTATCTGAAAACAGCAGAAATTAGTTTTAAAAAATGCCATCAAGGTAGCTGAAAAAGTAGAACAAGCTTAAATTAGTAGAAGAAAGCAGAAAGAACATGTTTGCAGAAAGAAGCAGAAAGGAGCATAATAAAGTAGAAATTACCTGGGAAAAAGCTGAAATTAGCATAAAACTAGCTGCAAAGTAGATAAAAAGTCAGAAAGAAGTTTAAATTACCAGAAGGAATTGAGGAGAGCACATTTTTGCTCAATTTGGCTGAAAAACGTTTAAATGAGCTGTACTAAAATTAGCATAAAATGGCTAAATAGTAGCTGAAATTGTAGAAAAAGCTGAAACTTGCATAAATAAGCAGAAAGGAGCATAACAAGTGGAAATTAGCAGAAAGAAGTTAGAAGAACAACAATAATGTTGTAGTTAGCATAAAGATCCCGAAACAAGCACAAAACAGCTGAACAAACCAGCTGAAAGTAGCTGAAAGAAGTTTAAATTTGCTCAAAGAAGTTGAAAGAAGCTGAAGCAGAACAAAATGTGAAAGGAGCAGTAAAAGGCTGTAAACAGATCTAAAGATCTGAAGGATGTAAAATGAGCTCAATTCATTTCCTATAAGAAAAAAGTGTCAGAAAAGGCTAAATATTTCAAAAAGCTAAAATTGCACCAAAAGTCATAACACATTTCTTCTGAATGAGCAGAACTTTTTGATATATGATTTGTTGAAATAGCTTGAAAACTGCAGGACGAGAATCACGCCGAGTGTGAATGCTTCATAAACATTCACACAGTAAGTTGTATCAGTCTAGAAAAGAGAAGAAGACCAAGGTTAGTAGTTGTCATGAAAATATAAATGTATAAGGATGTCAAAGTCAGAATGCTTTAAAATATAATCTCGTGTAATGATACGTTACAGAAAATAGGATGGAGTCTTGGCTTTAAGTAGCCAAATCAGCCCATTTTTATTTTATTAACTCAAAAATACTTATTTTACAAAATATTAATTCTTAATGCTTTTTTTTTTTACCCTTTCAAAGTAATTTTTCTGAACCTGACAAGCTGACATTAGCTAGTTGGTTAGCTGTGTTTATTGTGTATAGCAGGCTTAATAGACTGATAGGTGCAATGCTTCTGGCCGACAAAACCGTTCTCTTCCTCTTTTCTAGCCTGGAACAGTTTAGTCTCATTTTCTTTCAGCTTGATGCCCAGCTGACTGACAGCTCACATGACCAGAGAAATCCCTGCACTGTTTATTGGACGTTATCAAAAATAGGTGAGACTGTGCAAACTATGCCTTACAAAATCTGTTATTTGGTTTATTCAGGTTCTCCAGAACATGGTTCACTGCGCAGACCTGAGCAACCCCACCAAGCCTCTTCAGCTGTACCGACAGTGGACAGACCGCATCATGGAGGAGTTTTTCAGCCAAGGTGACAGAGAAAGGGAGAGAGGCATGGAGATCAGCCCCATGTGTGACAAACACAACGCCTCCGTGGAAAAGAGCCAGGTAATGATTGCAGCCACATAAATACATCACCAGACTGTAGCGTATAAGCATGGACTGATGTCCACCTTGTCCTTCATGCATGTTATAGGTTGGTTTCATAGACTATATCGTCCATCCGCTGTGGGAGACGTGGGCGGACTTGGTCCATCCTGATGCCCAGGACATCCTGGACACGTTGGAAGACAACCGAGAGTGGTACCAAAGCACTATCCCTCAAAGTCCGTCTCCTGCTTTGGACGAGCCAGAGGACGGCACTCGTCCCCCTGGAGGGGAGAAGTTCCAGTTCGAACTCACCCTGGAGGAGGACGGGGAGTCGGACACCGAGAAGGACAGTGGCAGCCAACCAGAAGAGGAGGAGGACGAGGAAGAAGAGAACAGCTGCACTGACTCTAAAACACTCTGTACGCAGGACTCTGAGTCTACAGAGATTCCTTTGGACGAACAGGTGGGGGAGGATGAAGAGGAGGACGAGGAGGAGGTGGTACAGGAAGGGGAAACACCCTGCTCACAAGCGAGTGCTGTAGAAGAAGACGTAGCAGAGGAGGAGAGAGGGGAGGAGGAGAAATCCCCCGACACATAGCAGTTACAGACAGCACCTGATTAACTTTTCTTCTTAGTAACAACAGATTATTATTTATAGATTTTTTTTTTTTGTGAACTTTGGTTTTTATACATCTGTTTCTGGTTCCAAAGCGTGTGCTGCTCTCCACCTTTTGCCCACTCCTCTCGTCAGCTTTATTTAGACACGCCCGTCGGTACTACTTCAACTTTTTTTGCACTCAGGAAACTCCTCTTTCATTCCCATTCGTGCTGGGGTGGTGTGTCTCTGCTGTCACGTTCACTCGTCCTCTCAACCTGAAGTGTAGGACGCAGGCGAGCGGTAGCGGTCTGCTCAGTGCTGCTCGTAAACGACGTCGTTCTCTGTCTTTCTGCTTCGTCTCAGCCTTGCCTGAAAGTTCTGTAGTGTCTTTCTGTTCGATTAAGTGCTGATAACTCTAAAGAGACAGTTATTGGTGAGAATCTCCGTTCTGGTTAGATCATATTCTCCCTGCTATGAATTAGGAAGCGTGTTGATGCTGCTGTTGGGCTGAGAGCCTGACGGTGTGCTGCAGAGACGGTCGCTGCAGGACAAACGGGAGCTTTAGGAAACGCATTTGTGATGTGGAAGTCTTCCTCGAACACCCAACTGACAAAAAGCTTCAATCTGAACAGCTGTGACGCTGTCCCAGACCTCTTTGATTTTTGTACTGTATTTAAGATTCTGATATTTTCTAGAATTTACTTTTGCAATCCGAGGCTTTTCTTTTGTTAAATGAAAACCAACCGGGAGAAAAGTGACATCCAGTGTTCTGAAGAGTTGACAGCTGGAAGATTTGAGTGTTCAGATCCTTTTGCACTTGCTCCAATAGCATTTATACTACTATTCCCATACCACTATACTTGTTTTCAGTTAGTCCTGTGTGTTGAGATTTGATTATTTTTTAATAACGGTCTTTTTTTTTTTTTTTTTAGCTTCTTCTCTGAGATAGAAGCAAAAACCCGAGGTCTTCTGCTTTTCATCTCACTGGAGTTAATGACGTGGATGAAGCCCTTAAATGTTATTATTGTTGCCTGTAGTTCTTTTGAACACACCCTGAGACAATGCAATGCTTTGTAGTTACAATACAAAAAGCACCTTTTTTAAAGATGTTTGATTAGAGCTCCACGTGTTTAGAAATAGTAAAAATGTTAAACATGGCCAGGGTAATTTTATGCCAACGTTATGAAAGTTTGCATTACTTTTCTCCATCTTTTTGGTTGAAAACAAGTAAAAGATGCTTGTTTAAAGGAGGTAGGTTCAAAGGAGGGCTCTGTGACAAGGTTATGAACGATTAATAGTTTACCTGCTGCAGATAGCTCCTTGAATAGCTAACAACTAGTGTGAAGGTGACCAAGACCAAAACAGATTACAGTAGTCACTCGCTACTTCGCAGTTCGTGTATCGCGGACTATCTCTATCGCGTTTTTTCAAAACAAGATTGGATGTGACACACAAATGGCTGATTGATGGATGAGCCGCACGAACAGCATGGAATTTTTATTTAAAATAAATTATTCTAAATTTTTTAGCTCCTCCTGCACCTTTGTGCAGCTCATACTGCTGGATAAACTTCCTGCTGCAGCTGATCAGCTGTTCTCCGTACAGCATGGAGAAGTGGGCGTGGCCAAGAGCGCTTGCAGGTGACAACGAGCAGATGAGGCAGGGAGCTGAAATCATGACATTCTGTGCTCTTATAGAGCGTTTAGAGTTTAGGAACATTGTTTAGAATATTGCAAGAGTGTGAGAAGGGTTTAAAACGCCTATATATATATATATATATATATATATATATATATATATATATATATATATATATATAAACTACTACTTACTATTTGTACTACTATTCCTACTTTGCGTTTTTTTCCACTTATCACGGGGCTTCAGGGTATGGATTCCCCACGATAAATGAGGGACTAGTGTACTCTATTCCTAAAACAACTGCTATACTGAATATATTGAAGCATTTCATACAAGTGCTATTTTTAACTTTTACGCCTCTATGGATTTGGATTAGATGATTCTTCTAGAAGAAATGCTGTGGTATTTCTTCAGGAAGGTCAGCACCGCTGCTAGAATTTGTGCTAGCAAGAGAGAAATACATGTAATTATTTGTAAATTACTGTTTTTTCTTAAATTTTCAGAAATATACAGGTGTACTAAATGGTGTTCATGTGAAATGCTGTGAAATTGTTGTGGGAAGTAGCTTTAAGATGGCAGCAACCCACTTTGATCCTGACCCCACTCAGACTAGCCGTTAGCTCATCAGCCAAATTCGATATAAACTCTACTTTTCAAATCTGAGGTTGTTCAAAGAGCTATCTGTAACAGGTAAGATATTGATTGTTTATAACCTTTCAGCAGAACCAAAAAAAGTCAAAGTTGTTTTTTTTTTCCCATCATTATACAAATGCGGTATTTATTTGTGCATCCCATTGTTAACTTCAGTTCACTGTCTTTGTTTTCAACAAGACAATCAGCTTCTAGCATTACTGTCACAGATGACAATTCTCCATGTAGATATTTTTGATGCGGTGGTTCCCAACCCTGGTCCCTGAGGAACACCATCCTGCATGTTTAAGTTGTTTTCCTGCTCCAACACACCTGCTTCACTGATTTAATTACTTCATCAAGTTCTGCAGAAGCCTGTGAATCACCATTTATTCAAACCAGGTGTGGCAAAGCAGGAAACAAGTAAAACATGCAAGATGGTGTTCCTCAAGGACCAGGGTTGGGAACCCCTGTATTTAATGCACTAATAAACTCATGAACTCTTAATACTTAGATTATTTCAATTCACAAAGACACAGAATCATCCTTAAACACATGTGTCAACATCTGCCAAGTCCATTTTCTATGTTTTCACATTTTAAATCACCTAAACCCAATGCTATTATTTATCTGTTTATTTTTCTATGTGTTGTTTTGCACAGTAGAAGTAAGTACTTCTCTGTAGTTTAGACCACAATACAGGCTTGCCCGTTATAGAACCCAAATATACTTTTGTTTGCCCTGTATATATTTTAGAAAAAGTTCACTAATGTAAAAAAAGGAGAAAAAAAAACTTGAAACACTGCACACTGCTTTTTTAAAAAAAAGTTTTAATTTATCTTTAATTTTGTGCCAACGTTTTATTTTCATCCTCACCTTATGCCCTTACCTGTAATAAGAAAATCTGGTTTATTGCTGTTTACAAACATATTTATTGTTCTGTACATACTATATAATTATTAATGTTGTTACTATCATAATGCAGTTTGCTGTAAATGGTTGATTCTTATCATCCCTTGTGGTGATGGTGTGGCTGTATTACGTACCTCTTGTTGAGAGAATGTTTATCACACTTGAGCTTCGGTGTAAACGATCCATCGACCTGTTGCTTACCTGAGAACTTGCTCAGAGGTAAGAGAGGGAAAGCCAAATTTATTTATTTTAATTTTTTAAAGAAGCTGTTCCTTGGCCCATGGGCTGTGCCTTAAAGTCAATACATCATTTGAATTAGCCTTTTCCTTTATTTTTTAAATTATCTTGTTCTCCTTTTGCTGCATTGGGGAATCTTTTGGCTTTGGTTGGCCTGATGTCTTGTGGAGAAAAGTTGCCTTTTCAATCTCACAGCCAAATAGAATTAGCTCCGTCACATATATGACTCTGGGTAGGAACATACTGCATGTCGGTGCAGAGGTGTGTGGAAGTTCGGGTTAACCACAAGTCAAAGATTTGCTGCAGGAATGAATGTGGCCTGCAGCCAAATGTCTAAAGAGTCGTAAATGCTGGAGACCCGCTCACAATAGACTTTAAGGGAGGGACTCAGCTGAGTGGTCTGAGTTTTGATCAGATCACAGCTGCAAACACTGAATACGAGAGTGTGTGTGCATGTGTGTGTGTATGACCGCGGCCCTACGAAGCACAGAGGCTTTGAGACACATCTGCATGTTCAGCCACTGCTGCATTAATTACGGCTGAAACACTGACGGTGTGCTGCTTATCTATGCTCGACCCACTTTCACTCATATTACTTGCAATATCCAAACAAACAAAAAAAAAAAACCACACATTTTTCTGCCGGGACAGAAGGTGGGTGGGGGGTGGTTAATCTGTTTCTGTACTGAAGGAAGGCAGGCGGGTGGATTGCATCCTTGTCCTGAAACCAGGACTCTTATTTTGACACATACTGTAGATCTGAAACAGCCCTGGACCAATGGAAATAGTGTTTTATTTTTATTTTTTCTCTCATTATCTGTTCTATTTTTTTATGGTTTCAAATGAAAACAAACTGTAACTTTACCAACAACAACAAAAAAAAGGTCTTCAGGACAATTATTTTTTTTGGGGGGAGGGGGGTTTGTCTTTAGAATGCCAACTTGTCTGGACGTTTCACAGGACAATTAAAATGTTATTTTATTGGATTCTTTGTTAATCGCAGTCTATTGGATAGCACTGTAGATCATACAACTTTATCTAAAAAAATGTAAAAAAAAAAAAAGAATGAAAAAAGTTTTTATATGCAATGGATTAAATAAAAGCATGGGTTGATTTTGCCTACCTGCTGGCTCCTTCTCATTCTTTCAGATGTTAAATATGTGTGGGTGCTCTGTGAGTTTGGGACTTCACGAGAACAACCCTGAAGCTGATTTCTGTATTTCAGGCACACACACAAGAACATTTTATTATATTGTAAAATAATACTTTTTGTTTTGTTAGTTTGTTGCATACAGCATTTACAACAAATACTTGACTTTATTACTTAAATTAGGCATGACAGGCCACAATGACAACCTTAGGAGTTTTTTTGGTTTTACATTGATAGTCATTCCCTAGTCCAAGGGTCTGCAACCTTTAGGATCAAATAAATCATTTCTGCCCCTTCCTTTCACTAAATTAAATGTGACCAGAGCCACAAAATCTGTTAGAATTGTTATTATCAGCTGGTGGCCACTTTTAAGTTTGTTAGAGGGGGCCAGTAGGTGTGAAATTATAAAACTAAAAACATCCAGTGATTGTTAACATTTATTGATACATTTACGTTTTAAGACGAAAAGACTAGATTCCATTCATCCATCATCTTTACTGTACTTGCTTTTTCCTTTTTGGATTGCAGGGGGTCACTGGTGCCCATATCCAGGTTGCAAGTCTATCACAGGAGACTGGATTCTTGTAAAGGAAGAAAAATATATTATTTTGACAATTAACAGAAACTAAAACATTGAACTATCCAGGCTTATTTTATTTTATTTATTTTTTGTATGAGTGTGGAGAAATTGAGTATCCTACTTCAGAATCAGAATCCGCTTTATTGTCATTGCACCGAAGCACAACAAGATTACATGTCAGTACAGCCCGTCCAAGTAAAACACAAGCCGATGAAGGCAGTGAGTTTGTTCGTGGACACTGCCAACACAGGTCCACAGATGTCCTCGGAGTCGGAGCAGGAGGGAAAAGTGTCCGCCTTCGTCGAGAGCAAGCAGGAAAAAAAAAAAAACTTGGAAGAAATAAAGCATAAAGTTAAAGTGAGTATAATTTACTCTTTGTATTAGTACTTGTATCCCCATATGTGCAAAGGAATTGACAGGAAAACTGCTAAAACTAGTGATTTTTTTGTTGTTGTTGCAGGGATAACATCCTATAAAGTTCAGTTTTATGCTAGTTTTGGTCAAAGCTTGAAAGAGCCACATGTGGCTCCAGAACCACAGGTTGCAGACCCCTGCTCTAGTCCTTTCTGGATACAGTTTTTGACTTAGCTCCTTCCTGGTTTTTCACAGATTTTTCTTGAATTCACTCCAGAGTTTTCCTGCAGAAATAATATGAATCTTGTTAAAAATGTAAATATTTGACCAGTTTGAGCTTCCGCCCACTGCAGAGTGTTAAAACGTTTTCTTTCAACATCACTCTCTATAACTTAAAGTATTGAGAAAGAAAAATGTGCGTTTTACTTCTCAGAATCTAAGGATGGAGACAAATAAAAGAACATTTGCTTTTAGAATATGTACAAAATACTATATGCAGATATTTTTTTTAATCTCAGCTTTGGACTATTTAAAAAAAAAGTGGCAGAGACTTTTCATCCTCAATACCCATACAGTTACTGGCATTATGACAACGTAAACAATTGTACTATTTTAATTTACTATAAATTTATGATTATATTTTTCAAATTATGTAACAGTTAAACAAATGATGCTATCAAGATTTTTGTTTAATAAGGACTAAGCAGATAGAGGATGGATGGATGGATGGATGGATGGATGGATGGATGGATGGATGGATGGATGGATGGATGGATGGATGGATGGAATTTGATCTATACAAACATCTCAATTTAGTTTGCACAAATTTCACTAAAAATTAAATACTGTCAGCATTGTGGCACAACTGGTAGAGCTGCTGCCTCTCAGCGAGCAGGTCCTTGGTTTAAATCCCTGTCCAGGGGCCTTTCTGGGTGAAGTTTGCATGTTCTCTCCGTGCATGCGTGGGTTTTCTCCGTGTACTCCGGTTTCCTCCCAAAAACATGTATGTTAGGCTGATTGGTAACTCTAAATTGTCCATAGGTGTGAGAGAGTGAATGGTGGTTTGTGTCCCTGTGTCCCTGTGATGGACTTGGGCCCTCACACAGTGATTGCTGAACATGGGCACCGGTGACCCCCGTGACCCAAAATAAAAGAAGTGGGTAAAATATAATGGATGGATGGATGGATAAATACTGTACACTAAACTGATGATTTTTTTTACAAACTTCAAGGCTGCAGAGCTTCAACTCTACCACTGGGTGGTGCTGTTTGACTACAAATGAATGAGAGAGGAAAGAAGTAACGGTGCCATGCTGCTGAGACATCAGGCCTGCTCACAGGTCAGTAGCCTCCAGATTTGTCCATCATGTCTTGTTCTCACCAGTGAAGAAACAGAGAACACAGAAACCAAATGATAGAGTTTGAATTTATTTCTTATAATCTCAAAAACATACTCTTTACTTTTTACTTTGTTTGCACTCCATGAAATATATTCAGTCACACGTAAAGTCTTAGATTTCTAAAATGATTTTAGTTTTTTTTTTTGTTTTTTTTTTAACCAGATTGACTGTTTGTCCATTTGTGTGTGAAATAAATCTTGACTGAAGATTTTATATAATTTAATTCATGGCAACAGGTTTTACTAATACACACTGACAGATGCTAACACGCAGATCTTTGAACTAATTTCCCTTTTTTTCCTCTTTTGTGAATCTTAACAGCATGGCATATGGCATGGACTAAGTTCCCTCCCTGACTATCTTTACAATAACACTGCATGTTAACATGATACTAGATGGTCAGTCGACACCCAACAGATAGCAGGAACAGCATACAGCACGCAAATACATCGGTACAAAAGGTATACACAAACAATACACTTTATAACTGTAATTTATCTCTGCAATATGGCAGGTAAACACACACGCACGCACACACACACACACACATCAGATCACAGGATCTGTGACAGCAGGCTCTGAATGAAGCCCGTCTTTCAGAGTGCAACATTTTCAGACCCATTTCGACCACTCACCACTCGCATACCACAGATAGGAGTTGTTACACTCCAAGGACAGAAGAAACTATTTACAGAATTTAATTCATAAAATATTGCACTTATTGGCCCTTTGCATCTCATAGCGAGCGCTATGGAAATGCTCCTAAATCTGTTACACAGAGTGATATATACAGTGTCCTAGAACATAAATCTACACTGACCAGTGAGGACTGACTTCATGCACGTTTTTTTATTTTTATTTTATTCAGCTATGCAACAAGCAATTATCATTGCTAGAAAAAATGTAATGTTTTGGCACAAAAATTGTTTTCCTTATGAAGTTAAACAAACTGTTTAAAGTAGCTACGAGGTTTACACTACATGGATGGATCAATAAAGACAGCAGGATAAGTTTGCAGGAAGAAAAACTCCCCCTAAGCAACTTAATGAAATGTTTTTCTTGTTTTTTTTTTCTAAGAAGGGACTTTGTTTTTAAAGCACAAAAGCATGCTGGCTCGAAAAATTATGGCTGTTTATTCCATGCCAGGACACATCATCTGATTTTGTCACACATGTTGCTGTGCTTTGACAGCTTGAGACTTTCATTTGATGGACGGTATCGTTGCCATCGCATGGAGCTGATGATGAAGAGCTCTGGGAAAGACCAGCCTTTAGACAAAACAGGACAAATGCTTGATATTTTTGGCAGCATGCTCTTTGTGTGAAACAGTGAAGGGGCTTCTTATAGGCTGAGGATAATGACTGAGTTGCTTTTACGATTGTAAGGTATAATTATTGAAGAAATGACACATCTACAGACAGCAAAGGGTGAAAATCTTCTCGCATCAGCACTTGATCCATTCCAACAGTTTGCAGGACAATGGGACTTATACAGAGGCCATGTTGGAGATGCTAAAAGGCCACTTTTTTCTCCAAAGGTAGACTTTTTATGGTATTAGGACGCAACGCTTACACTCATGCAAATCCACACTCACTTACTGTACAGTCACAGCCACACACTTATTATTACAGTCATCACACACAAGAAAGCTGCTACATCTTCTAGAGCTATAAATCAAAGATTTGGCAGCTTTAGGAGTCAAAAGGAAAGAATAAAAGGACAGTTTGCGCAACTTATTAAAGCAGTCACTGATTCTACCTCTCGTCCTAGTCTTAACAAGTTTAAAGGTCTTACCTGTGCAGTATGAGTGTGAACTACTGGAAACCCTGTCAGATATATTCAGTTTACTATTATACTAACTAGTTGAAGAATAAGAATAGTGTTTTGCTATATTCTAGATAACCTGTGATGTTACGTTTTACGTTAGCCATGACTTGTTTCCTGGTTATTTGCTCTTTTATATAAGGTGATAAAGTTGGGAGACAATGCGACTTTTACTACTAAAGAGTGAACTGCAGTCCAGAGGAGGCAGTAAAGCAGAGTGAGCATGATGCTCACTCCACCACCTAGCAGGACCTGTGCTGCTTCCAAACAGCGGTCACTAACAGTTGCATCCAGATGGTTGGAGGGGCGGGGCGCTGTCTGTCAGTTTGGCGGTGGGGGCTCCAGTGGTGACAGCCGGATCGGTGTCTAAGCTCTCGGACATCTTGTCGCAGATTAGGTCGACGAGTCGTTCAAAGGTCTGCTTGACATTGATGTTGTCCTTGGCGCTTGTTTCGAAGAACTCAAAACCTTAAGATAAGAACACGAGACGACATGGAGGGAAAGAAAACAACGTTTTGAATGTTTCTTGTGCAACAAAATGAAGATGATGCAAACCAATGTGGTGAATGTTGTTTTATGACCTACCCAACTGTTCTGCCAGCAGCCGACCACTGTCCACTGAGACCACCCTCTCTTCCTCCATATCACACTTATTCCCAGCTAGCACCACCTGTGCATTATCCCACGAGTAGGTTTTTATCTGGGTCGACCTGCATGAAATCAGACACAAATACACGCATCTTATTTAAATTAGAGAAATTGCATTTCCCGCAAAAATGCAGTGTGAAGTCTGAAGAACTTGCTGAAAAACAGCTTAAATTAATTAAAAACATGCTGAAATGTAGCTGAAATGGAAGAACAAGCCTAAAATTAACAAAGAGCTCATATTTGCTGAATTAGGTTTAAATAAGCAGAAATTGGCACAAAAATGAGGAAATTAGCTAAAAAACACTAATAAAAACTAGCTGAAAGTTAAAACAAGCTTACATTAGCAAAAGAAAGAAAGAGCACGTGTTTGCTAAAAGAAGCACTAATGAGCACAAAAAAGTGGAAATTATCTGAAAAAAGCTGAAATTACAAAAAAAAAAAAAAAAACAGTTGAAAAGTTAATAAAAAAAAAAAAAAAAAAAAAAGGTAAAATTTTATAGAAAAAGGCTAAATTAAAAAAAAAAAAAAAAAAAACAGTTGAAAAGTTGCTAAAAAAAAGAAAAAGAAAGAAAGTTAAATTGTTATAGATTTTTGCTGATTTAGGCTGAAAAAAAGTTGAAATGAGTGCCAAAAATATGGAATTGGCTTAAAAAGATAAAATTAGCGTAAAAACATCTAATAGTAATAGTAGAAATAATTGAAATTAGCAGAAAAAATTAAGCAAAAAGCATAACAAGCTGAAAAAACACCTGAAATTACCTTAAAACGGCAAAAAAAAAAAAGTTTAAATTTGCACAAGCTGAAAGAAGTTGAACAAACTGTGAAAGGAGCAGAAAAAGGTTGTAAACAGATCTAAAGAATTGAAGGATGTAAAATGAGCTCAATTCATTTTCTCTGAGAAAAAAGTGGCAGAAAAGGCTAAATATTTCAAAAAGCTAAAGTTACACCAATACCAAAAGTTATAACAGGATTGTCCTGAAAGAGCTGAACGTTTTGATTTATGATTTGTTGAAATAGATTGAAAACTGCGGAACAAGAATCGTGCCGAAAAGCGTACAGAAGAAAAATGGATCACAATTGTGTGAACGCTTCATAAACATTCACACAATTACAGCTGATGCTCTGCTCCATTAAAAAAAATAAAAATAATCATACGACTTGTTTATGTGTTGTTATTTTGTACAGGATTCTTCCGAAAAAGAAAGAAGGAAGAGGAGAGAACATGATGTAATGTTTATTTCTCATTTGGACCGGTCAAGGAAAGTGACATAATCTCCGTCCTTTTGGCATCATGTAATATTTGAGTCACTGAATGCATCACCAGAAAAATGGGTCAATTTCTCCTCCAATACTGAAAATATGCAGCGGCATGTAGGCCATTATTTATTTTTGAAACTCTGGAAACTTCTCACACTTCAAACCAGTGTCTAAACCTCTTGAATCCTTTTATAATTGAGGAATCAAAAAGGCAACACTTCTGTTAATTTGCTTAGAAAAGCTATCTGCATGTAATTATTTCTAGATGGATGGATAGATGGACGGTTGGACAGATAGATGGACTGGCATAACTTTAGCCATAAACTATGTATTAAAAACCCACTGTAAGCGCTGTCAGTAGAGGTAAAAACTGCACTGACAGTACAATTCCAGTTTCTCTGTTCAAACCTCTGCAGGCTGCTCACAATATGGAAAGGAATTTAAGGAACATGTTTTTCCTGTGAAGTTGCAGTTTGACTGAAAGTAGGGCAGCAAACACACCACTGGCTGAAAACAGGAGATAAAGAGGCAGCAGAAGAAATAAAAACAGGAGAGATGTCAGCATTATGTCTCCTGTTCAGTGTCCAGTTGTTGCTAAAACACTTCTCATGGTGGTCATTTCGGCCAGTTTAGGTCCAATACTTGATGACAGTGTTACTGTACAGGAGTTCTCTGGTTTGTCTGTGACTCAGGCATGAAATGAGCACGTCACAAGCCTAATTCAGCCACAGTCTGGAAGGAGCCATTACCATGGAAACATTTTTTTTCTTCAACATTGTGACAAGAAACAAGGGAAAGAGAAAGTGGAATTAAAGCAAGTGACAAAAAGTAAATTCAGTTTTGTGAAGGATCAAAAAGAAGCCCCCTTGTTTTTTAACAGTTGATTGATTTGCACTCTGTCTGCTAAGTAAACTGTCAGGTAACCCTCTGGGATTGCTGTTGCCAGTGACACACTTGGCTCCTTTAATTAGATAGCCACCACAGACAGTGCTCTGACAGCAGTGTACTGTCAAAGAGTCAAAGAGGTCTTAAAAGAATAATAGGTGCGTCTGGCTTGGGTCTGTCTTTACATGAAAAGCCCTTTTTTGTTTACAGTGACAGGAAATTAATCTGAATTAGGCTGATAACGTGGAGCTTTTAAACAGTTGTTGTGATGTTCCCTCTGAGCTGTATATTGCTTTTAAACATTTATTAATTACAGTTAACTAGACAGTAGTATTTGCAAAGACAGGGGCTTTCTGAAACAACTGTAAAAGGTTGCAATTTGAGTGATAAGAGCTAAGCACACAGGCATTAATTATGATTCAAACAGCCCTACAACACCACCATCTGCACCAATAATTGATTTTTTATTGATGCAACACTAATCTAAAAACATCATTTTATTTAAACACTTATATGTACATTACTTTTTTGAGCTGCCAGAAAGTCCAAATGGTATATTTTATCAGCCCCAACAACGGACAAAGCAGTGTGAATGCTTATTACAGAGGAACTTGCTGAAAAACAGATGAAATGAGCTAAAAAAAAAATGCTGAAATGTAGCTGAAATAGAAGAACAAGCCTAAATTAGCAGAAGAAAGCAGAAAGAACACTTATTTGCTGAAATAAGTTTAAATAAGCAAAGATTTGTACAAAAAATTAGGAAATTAGCTAAAAAAAAGAGCTGGAATTAGCAAAAAAAAATTGCTGAAAAGTAGCTGAAAGGCAAAAAGAATTTTAAACTTCCAGAAAAAGCAAAAAGAGCTGAAATTTAGCATAAAACAGCTAAATAGTAGCTGAAATAGCAGAAAAAGCTGAAACTAGCATAATTAAACTGAAAAAATAATTAAGCTGAAAGGAGTATTACAAGCTGAAACTATCAGAAAGAAGTTAATTGGGCTGAAAGAAGCAGAAATTACCACAAAAAATTTTGAATTTATCTGAAAACAGACAAAATTAGCTAGAAAATACTAAAAAGGTAACAGAAACTATAGAACAAGCTTAAATTAGCAGAAGAAAGCAGAAAGTACACGATTGCTGAATTAGGCTGAAAGAAGCAGAAATGAGCACAAAAAAGTGGAAACTATCTGAAAAAAGCTGACAATAGCTACAAAATCCCAGCTGGAAAGAAGCTAAAAAAAATAAAAAACAGAAAGAAAATTAAATTACCAGAAGAAAGTGGAGAGAGCACATTTTTGCTGAATTTGGCTGAAAATGTTTGAAATTAGTGCAAAAAATGTGCAATTAGCTGAAAAGGCTAAAATTAGTATAAAACAGCTAAAGTCGCAGAAATAGTAGAAAATACTAAAACTTCTAGAAATAAGTTGAAAGGAGCATAACAAATTAAATCAGCAAAACAAAGTTAGAAGAAGCACACACATGTTGTAGTTAGCAGAAAGAATCTGAAAGGAGCAAAAAACAGCTTAAAGCAGCTGAAAGTAGCTGAAAAAAAAGTTTGAATTTGCACAAGGAAGCTGAAAGGAGCTGAACCAGAACAAAATGTGAAAGGAGCAGTGTAAACAGATCTAAAGATTTGAAGGATGTAAAATGAGCTCAATTCATTTCACATGAGGAAAAAAGTGGCAGAAAAGGTTAAATATGTCAAAAAGCTAAAGTTTCATTAATACCAAAACTCATAGCAGGACTGTCCTGAAAAAGCTGAATGTTTTGATATTATGATTTGTTGAAATGGCACAAGAAATGTGGAACAAGAAAGATGCTGAAAAACGTTTGGAAGAAAAATGGATCACAGTGGTGTGAATGCTTCATAAGCATCCACACAATCTGTACAATTATCTGTACAAGTATTATTTGTGGTGTTTTTATAACAGTTTTGTTCACATAAAAACCTAGTTTCTATAACTAACTGAACGCTGCCTTCCAACCCCGTGTTCAGACACAAATGCATCATCCAACAGAACAGACATTTGCTTCAGAGTTGTTGCTCAGTTGGTGTGACTCATGAAGAGGCCAGAGCTGTGACCTTGACAAGTTTCTCCTTCATCGCAGAGCCAAAAGTGTATGTTGCATGAAAAGTGTCAGATTCCATATGTTAGGAGAGCGAGGCACACTGTTGGCTTTAGCAGGAGGTGAAGAGGGTTGCACAACATCATGGTGGACTTGACTCACAGCAACAGAAAGTTACACTTCATTTCACCTACAGTATATACAAATCTGATGAAGCTTGACTCACCAGTCCTGCACAGCACCGAAGGACTCCTCGTTGGTGATGTCGTACATGAGGATGAAGCCCATGGCTCCACGGTAGTAAGCTGTGGTGATGGTTCTGTAGCGCTCCTGGCCTGCAGTGTCCTACACAAAGACAACACGACTTAAAAGAGCTGCTGGACTGTCAAACTCAGCAATATGGACTTAAACCCTGTACAGCACAAACAGATGCACAACAACACTGTTAATAAGCAGACACTGTATTTATTAATATGCTGACATTCACACATAAAAACGATAATCATCTTCCATTGTGCACATAATCTGGAAACAATCATTTTACTAATTGCCTTGCTGACTTTGCATTGATAACGCACCAAGAGCAGCACCTCAGTGTTGCTTGATAGGTCTGACATTTTTGCTCAGTAAAATAATAATTTGGCTCTGTTAAAAGGCTCAGCAGTGCAGTATTAAAAGCTTAGCTTGTGACATGTAATTCACAGGAAATGGTCTAAATATAGAAGTTGAATTATTTTAATACAGAGTAGCTGTGCACTGCTGTTGGAGATAAGATGACAGAAATGTCTCAAAGCCAAACAATAATAGATAATGTCAGGACAAAATGCTAAAGCGAATGGGAAGAAAACGTTTGTTCACAGTTGTATTTCTTATTGATTTTTTTTTCTTCTGATTATTATCATTGAACTGTTCAGTAGAATTAAACAAAGCTCGATCATGTTGTACGTTTACAGCATTGTTCTTACACCCACAACAAGTGTGTTTCCAGGCTTCTGGGACTCATGTCAGAAGACTTCTGGCTGCTCCACTTGGCTCCTGTTAAACAGACGCCCAACAGGCAGCTCTGGATTGTGTTCCTTTGCGTTCTGTTCATCTGCACATGGCGGCAACTGTGCGCCTGTTATAGCCAGAGGACAAATCTGACCTTCCACTTCACAGAAATGGAGCTTTCAGTCTGCACAGCTTCCACTCACAAAGCACAGCTACAGCCTTCTGTCAGTTTATAGCAAAAACAAACTGTACTTGCATATTTGCTAATACTCATCTTAATAGTCCAGTTCATACACAGGCCATCTGAGCACATTATTTAATCTTCTTGTCTGGATTTGAATGTAATTTCTCAGCTAAGTCCTTAGCATAGCATTCTCAGCCTGTTTCTGCCCACCATTTTGCTTGTGCTTAGTTAAAAGGATAGAGTGGAAGCAAGGAAAGGAGAATCTGCTTGAGTCCTGAAAATTTGAGCACTTTGAAAAGCATTGCATGTAGCTGCAAGCTCAGCAGAAATCAGCCGAATCAGCTGATGACTGACTGGTGAGAAAGTGAGCAGAGACAGAAAGTTGAAAAAGAAAAAAAGAAATCAGCTTTAGGTGTGCATCTGGTTTTTAACGACCTAGCCATGCATTTGTGTTCTGTTCAGCAGTCTCATTTAATTACAGGAACAGCTTTTATATATTATGATGTGGGTCCACCACAAGGACTCGCGCCAATAGTCATCACCTTAAAAGGCCACTTAGTGCATGTCTCAGCTCACTGTGAGCCCAACTAAAAGAGACAAGCCAATTATCTGGATGTAAGGGCAGTTCTTTTCCCTTCTGAATATGCTCGTCTGTGCTGATGATAAACACATTATTCTGATTATCACTCGGCGTTCAACGCCAAGTTTTCACATTTTGATGTGAGTGCCTCTTCTTCAGCTATTTTTTTTGCCAAGAAAACACCAAACGTTTGGCTAGTTCTTGTAAAATGGTGAAAAAATAGAGCTAAACCTTCATATTTAAATATACCAATGAGGAAGAAAATAGAAGACAAGAAAATGAATTATTTTATTAGGAGACAATCTGCCTCTACAGCTCCAGTGGACTCCTAATTAAACAGATTCTGCCGTTTCCCACATGTTGTGGAGAAGGTGTTGTTTCCTGCGTTCGTCTCTGCTGTGCTGCACCGACACTTACTAATTTCCTGTCAGTAATGTTGAGATTTCCATCTGTCTCCACACTTAGATCACAGCATTCAAATACAATATAGCCTTTCCTGAGTTTTTACTGAGTAGATAAATCCCTCAGCCTTATGTAAAACATGGTTCAATGACTAAGATCATCCTGAAGTTTAGTTTTTGCACATGTGTCAAATAATGTGCTAAATTTTAACTGAGACAAATTTCAACTCTTACACTGACCTTTAAACATGTTGCCTGTGAAGCTGTAGATATTCTTAATTGTTCTGTGAATCCTCAGGATACGAATGGCCAAGACTATCACAGCATACTAAGAAATATATGATATATCCCACAAGCCAAAACACTGACTTGAACCGAATAAATGCCTCGACAAGCCCCTTTTTATTAATGCCAAATACCTACTGCCGTCTAGTCCCAAACTGTCACAGTCCTTGACACATATTGATCAATGCAGAAACGCATGAGACATAATGAGCTCAGGACAATGAATGATGGTCTTTCAGTGACAGGAATCACTCAACAGGGGCACAATGGCTAAAAGAAGAAAACAGAAACAAAAAGTGTTGATTCTCCAACTTTTTAGCTTTAGAACTACAAAATAACCGAGGTGGGAACTTGCAACCCCAACTATCTTTTAGTCATGGTAAGCAATCATTACAATTGGGCCAATTAAACAAGGGTTATAATGATAAAAATAAGAATTGTGTCATTTTTATTGAGTAACACTTTATATCTCTCATAACAATTACCAACAACTGTGATTACCAATTATTTTAAATGTAATTTTGCTTCTAGTAGTCATCGCAAGACTCTTAACTTGATGTTTTGTAGTGGGGTCCCGACTCCAAATTTTAGAACCACAAAAAAACCCTTTCTTCCAGACAGTTGTAGCAAGTAAACGTTCACCATTTCGCTAAATCAATTAAAATTTAAAAACCTATACAGGTTTATATATTTAAAATGCATAGTCAAATGTATAAACATCAAGTAGGCTGAAGCTGGGGTTGGTTTGTCAACGAACATTTTGTGGCTCACTTCTGAATATTGAACGCTCGAAAGCTATTTCATACCCAGATCTGCAGTTTGATCCTCTTGTCGTTTTTGTACACCGTCTTCACTTTGAAGTCGATGCCCACTGTGCTGACAAAGGCTGAAGTGAAGGCATCGTCGGCGTAGCGGAACAGGAAGGACGTTTTACCCACGCTGCTGTTGCCAATGATCAGCAGCTTGAACATGTAGTCAAAATTCTGGTCTCCCCCTTCTCCTTTCCCCTTGACATCCTGAGTGGCAGCCATCTGCAGAAACAAAGAAGGCGTTTTACTCTGCTCTGTGGGTAAATGAAAATAAGAACATGCATTATGATGTTTTCTCAAATTTGCTGACGGGTTTGTTAAATTCCTTCCTATAGAAAAGCCATGTCAGGATCTGAATCAAGTTTGTGTATGCATGCTAATAAAAAAAAATAAAAATAAAATAGTCCAAACATTTTGTTCAGAACATACAGGCTTGTTGTAGGCCACAGATCAGAGGTGACAGAAGGCTGCGTCAGGAAAGCAGCATGAGAAACACAGCAAGCTGTTGTAATAATAAGCATTAGATAACAAGCTGCGGTTTTTTTTTTTAAATGATATAATCCCTGCAATCTAGTGATTCTTTTATTGATGTTATAACTTACTTAGCTAAAATAAATTAGGCTAAGACTGGGTGTTTTTAATGCAGAGGAGGAAATATTGTTTTTTTAATGTTCATAGTGGCCTTCTCTGCAGCCTACATACCCCCCCCCCCCCC